TAGATTGTGTGAATTTTCTTACATAAGAAGAAAATTACTTCAGTCACCTCTCAGACCCCTTTCACATACCTTTAAGGATTAAGTGATAATTGGGTACCAAATTAAGATATGCAAATCAATAGCCTTTGACTTTACCAACAGCCAATTTAGGAGATATAGTTGAAGAAAACTAGTTCTTACAATAACAATACATTGATGAAAGCTAGGCACAAGTGGCTCACACCTGTAATCTTAGCTACCCAGGGGGCTGAGATGCAGGATCCTCAGTGGCATAAGCCACTGGTGCCCAGCTCCCTGAGCTTTTTTGTTCAAGGACAGCACTCTACCACTTGGTTCACACCTCCACTTCCATTTTCTTTTTTCTTTTTTTTTTTTGGGGGGGGGGTCCGGTCGTGGGGCCTGAACTCTGGGCCTGGGCGCTGTCCCTCAGCTCTTCAGCTCAAGGCTAGCGCTCTACCACTTGAGCCACAGCACCACTTCCGGCTTTTTTCTTTTTTGCTTGTGTGGTACTGAGGAATCAAACCCAGGGCCTCGTGCATGCAAGGCAAGCACTCTACCACTGAGCCACCTTCCCATCCCGGAAACTTTTTTTTTTTTTTGGTCAGCTGTGTGGTTTGAACTCTGTGCCTGAACGCTGACCTTGAGCTCTTCAGCTCAAGGAAAGTGCTCTACCACTTGAGCTACAGCGCCACTTCTAACTTCCAGTTTTCTTTGGTAGATAATTGGAGACATGCATCTTATGGACTTTTCTTTCCCCAGGCTGGCTTAGAACTACAATCTTCAGATCTCAGTCTCCTGAGTAGATAGGGTCATAGGTGTGAGCCATCAGCACCCAGCTTTGAATTTATCTATGTGACTAAAATTATGGAATTTAATTCTCTCTCCATTTCTAGATGTAGGGAGACTTAACATTTCTTAGTATTAGTATTATTATTTTTTATTTTTGTTGGTCGTGGGAATTAAACTCTGGGCCTGGGCGCTGTTCCTCAGCTCTTCAGCTCAAGGCTAGCACTCTACCACTTCAGCTGCAGCACCACTTCTGGTTTTCTGGTGGTTCATTGGAGATAAGAGACTCACACACTTTATTGCCCAGGCTGGCTTTGAACCACAATCCTCAGATCAGCCTCCTGAGTAGCTAGGATAACAGGCGTGAGCCACCAGTGCCCGGCTTTCTTAGTATTATTGAAATGTGGGATTCAAAAAGTTCCAGAGGCTTTGGTCAAATGCTTGTGTTCTTTAGTCTCGAAGGCAAAAAGTCATTATTTTGTTCTATTTCACAGCCTGACTCCTTTGCATCTCTGAAAAGGACTTTTTCCTCCTCCTCAGAAGCCCCAGAGGCCCCTGGGCTTCACCTGAAACCTACAATGGTACTTCTGCCCTGGCATTAACATTTTAGTGCTGTGCCATTTTCCCAAAAGCAGATTATAAAGAGGCCAAACTATCTGAATCCTGCATTCATGGAGAAAAGTGGAAAGGAAGTCTGTTCAGGTGAGTAATGACAACCAGACCTGCATAGTTCAGTCAACATTGAAATATTTGGAAACTATTTTCTTTTTTTTTTTTTTGGTCGGTGGTAGGGCTTGAACTCTTGGCTTGGGCACTGTCCCTGTGCTCTTAAGCTCAAGGTGAGCGCTCTACTGCTTCAGCCACAGCGCCACTTCTGGTTTTCTGGTGGTTTATTGGAGATAAGAGTCTCATGTACTTTCTTACCTGGGCTGGCTTTGAATCATGATCCTCAGATCTCAACCTCCTGAGTAGCTAGGATTACAGGTGTGAGCCACTGGCGCCCGGCAAGACATTTTCTTGTAGGACTTAGCCGTGGGATATCACTTGCTATGAGTTCCCTATGTATCAGGGTAACATTTCCAGATTCTAGGGGACCAGGTTCCCATTTTATTTCGGATATCAGCACTTTATACTTTAAAATCTTTAATTTTTCCTACCAGTACTGGAGACTTTGTGATTAAGTAGGTAATCTACCACTAAATGTTCCTTCAGTCTTACTTTTTTTTTTTGGTTGGTCATGGGGCTTGAACTCTGGGCCTGAGCGCTGTCCCTCAGCTCTTCGGCTCAAGGCTTGCGCTCTACCACTTGAACTACAGCGCCACTTCCTGTTTTCTGGTGGTTTATTGGAGATAAGAGTTTCACTGACTTTTTTGCCCAGGCTGACTTTGAACCGTGAAACTCAGATTTCAGCCTCCTGAGTAGCTAGGATTACAGGCATGAGCCACTGGCACCCGGCTTTAGTCTTACTTTGTACTAATTATTTTTGGGATGATGTCTCACCTGCTCAGGCATATTCCTTCACCACAGTCCACCTATGTAGGCTTCCTGTTGGGTGGAGTCTTTTAAGTCTTTTATGCCCAGGCTGGCTTAGCACTATGATCTGCCTCATCTCTGCCTTCCATACAGCTAAGATAACAGAAGCATGTCACCACCGCCATCTATCCGTTTGTGTTGTGGTCTTTTGTATTCCTGGTCTATAATCACTAAACTCCTGTTCTTAGCCTTTTTAGTAGCTTGGATTTACAACAGGAGCAATGCCCAGTTTTATACTTTGTGTTTGCCATCTTTGTTGTGAACTCTAAAGTTTCATATCCAGTTCATATTCTCCTATGTGTATAGATACATTTCCTTAGGCATTATGCTTTACAGGTTTGTTTGTTTTTTACCAGTCATAGGGCCTGAACTCTGGGCCTGGGCACTGTCCCTCAGCTCTTCAGCTCAAGGCTAGTGCTCTACCACTGGAGCCATAGCACCATTTCCAGCTTTTTCTGTTTATGTGGTGCTGAGGAATTGAACCCAGGGTCTCCTGCATGCAAGACAAGCGCTCTACCACTGAGCCAACTTCCCAGCCCCTTTACAGGTTGTGTTTACACATCATCTGATACTTACTTTCCTTCTTTACTACCACTTCCTTCTCTCTCCCTTTTTTTAAAATCAGTTTTTCTTTTTCTTTTTTTGGTTGTGGGGCTTGGACTCTGGGCCTGAGCGCTGTCCCTCAGCTCTTCAGCTCAAGGCTTGCGCTCTACCACTTGAGCTACAGCGCCACTTCCGGTTTTCTAGTGGTTTATTGGAGATAAGAGTTTCACGGACTTTCCTGCCCAGGCTGGCTTTGAACCGCGATCCTCAAATTTCAGCCTCCTGAGTAGCTAGGATTACAGGCGTGAGCCACTGGCGCCCGGCTTCTTTTTTCTTTTTTGTCAGTCGTGGGCCTTGAACTCTGGGCCTGGGCATTGTCCCTCAGCTTTTTAGCTCAAGGCTGGTGCTCTACCACTTGTGCCACAGTGCCACTTCCAGTTTTCTGGTGGTTTATTGGAGATAAGAGTCTCACAGACTTTCCTGCTGGCTTGGAACTGCAATCCTCAGATCTCAGCCTCCTGACTAGCTAGGATTACAGGCGTGAGCCACTGCCCCTGGCTCACTTCTCATTCTTTCAGTGGTCAAATGTCTCAGGATTATATTTCACATGTGTATCCCTACTTCCCATTGTCTGTTGTTTTTGTTTTTGGCAGTACTGTGGATTGAATTTATAGTTGGTTTTTGTTTTATTTTGTGCAAGTACTGGAGTAGAAGGTCAGCCAGGACAACATTAGCATGAGTGTCTCAAAACAAAATATGAGTCAAAGGGCTGAGAGTATTGCTCAAATGGTAGACTACTTAGGGATTTGAGAGGCCCTTTGTTCAGTGTTCCATCCTTTATTTATTTATTTATTTTTGGTCCGGTCATGGGGCCTGAACTCTGGGCCTGGGGGCTGTCCCTCAGCTCTTCAGCTCAAGGCTAGCTAGCATTCTACCACTTGAGCCACAGTGCCACTTCTGGCTTTTTTTTTTAATCTGCTTATGTGGTGCTGAGGAATCGAACCCAGGGCCTCATGCATGCAAGACAAGCACTCTACCACTGAGCCACCTTCCCAGCCCCAAAGTTAGACATTTCAAATACATTATTGTACATTGCTTATTTGGGAGACACTGGTTTATTAAGTTATGCAAATGTTTCAGAAATTGACATATCATTATACATTATAGAAGCATGTTAACATCACCAGTCACATTATGGACGATACACAATTTTGAAATTTTGATTTTTGTATTAAAACCTCAAATTTTATCATTGACAGCATGCAGTATCAAAGTGATTCTTTTTTAAAAATTTTTTTTTATTGTGAAAATACCGTACAGAGGGGTTACAATTACATGGGCAAGGTAATGAGTACATTTCTTTTTTTCTTTTCTTTTTTTTTTTGGGTCCGGTCATGGGGCCTGAACTCTGGGCCTGGGTGCTGTCCCTCAGCTCTTCAGCTCAAGGCTAGTGCTCTAACACTTGAGCCACAGCGCCACTTCTGGCTTTTTTCTTTTTGCTTATGTGGTGCTGAGGAATTGGACCCAGGGCCTCGAGCATGCAAGGCAAGCGCTCTACCACTGAGCCACCTTCCCAGCCATGAATACATTTCTTATCAAGCATTGTTGCCTCCTCCTTTGTCCTGTCCCCCTCTCCCTCCCAAAGTTGTAAAGTTCGTTTTTTGACATAACGTCTTGTACATCTCATTGTTGCAGTGAGTCAATCTGTATCCCTATTTACACAATTTGTTTTTTCCCTTCCCCTCCACAAATTACACCAACATCAAATACAGTGGAAACAGGGGTTATACCGTGGGGGAGGGACATACAAAGCAACAAAGAAATCATCTTATATCTATGTTAGAAACATTCTCAAGAAATTAAAAACAGGGGCTGGGAAGGTGGCTCAGTGGTAGAGCGCTTGCCTTGCATGCCTGAGGCCCTGGGTTCGATTCTTCAGCACCACATAAGCAAAAAGAAAAAAGCCAGAAGTGGCGCCATGGCTCAAGTGGTAGAGCGCTAGCCTTGAGCTGAAGAGCTGAGGGACAGCGCCCAGGCCCAGAGTTCAGGCCCTACGACCGGACCCCAAAAAAAAAAAGAAAGAATGAAAAAACATTTGAATCCTTATCTTGGGGTTTATTTTGCCAAACATCAACTTAAAAAATATGGAACGCTTCATGAATTTGCGTGTCATCATTGTGCAGGAGCCATGCTAATCTCTATCATTCCAATTTTAGTATATGTGCTGTCAAAGCGAGCATGCAGAGTGGTTTTTCTTGAAATGACTTTCACCTATTTGAAGAAAATACTTTATAAGAAAAGTCAAGTCTGAGTAACTGAGACTGTACTTTCAGGGATCATTTTTATAGTTTGTTACAAGTCTGAGTAACCATAGCATATAAGTTAATTTTCTTCCAAGTAAAATGGATGGCCTATGAAAACTTGTTGTTTACAATTTGACTAGTTACAACTTAAATGGAGTGTTTATGTTTACTTTGTATACAACAGAGGTGGTTTTTTTTTTTGGAGGAGGGGGGGTCTGGTCGTGGAGCCTGAACTCTGGGCCTGGGCGCTGTCCCTCAAGGCAAGCGCTCTACCACTGAGCCACTTTCCCAGCCCACAACAGAGGTGTTTGTATAGAATTTTTTTTTTTGTCAGTATGGGGCTTGAACTCATGGCCTGAGTGCTGTCCCTGAGCTTTTATGCTCAAGACTAGCACTTAACCACTTTGAGCTACAGCACCATTTCTGATTTTCTGGTATTTCCTTGGAGCTAAGAGTCTCACAGACTTTCCTGTCCGGCCCGGACTTGTAACTTGATCCTCAGATCACAGCCTTCTGAGTAGCTTAGGCTTACAGACATGAGCCACCAGCACTCTCTCTCTCTCTCTCTTTCTTTTTTTTTTTTTTTTTTTTGGGTCCGGTCGTGGAGCCTGAACTCTGGGCCTGGGCGCTGTCCCTCAGCTCTTCAGCTCAAGGCTAGCGCTCTACCACTTGAGCCACAGTGCCACTTCTGGCTTTTTTCTTTTTGCTTATGTGGTGCTGAGGAATCGAACCCAGAGCCTCATGCATGCAAGGCAAGCGCTCTACCACTGAGCCACCTTTCTAGCCCCTTTCTTTCTTTTTTTAATTCATTTGTTTCCTATACAGATACTATTTGCTATTCTTTTGTGAGACAGAGTCTTACTATGTAACCCTGGCCTGCTGGGACTTACATAGTCTTCCTTGCCTTAGCCTTCTAATTGTTGTGTGGTGGTTTCATATATTTTTCATAAAATCTCTTATAATTTGCTTGGTTGGTTTATTTTCCATAAATTCCCTTATAATTTCCCCAGAAGGGTCAATCCTTCTCAGAGAGAGTTTTTCTTAAGTCTCAGACATTGTGCAAATTTCTTCTCTCTCTCTTTCTCCTTCCTTCCTTTCTTTTTTTTCTTTCCTTCCTTCCTTCTTTTTTTTTTTTTTTTTGTGGGGGGGTCGAGTCATGGGGCCTGAACTCTGGGCCTGGGCGCTGTCCCTCAGCTCTTCAGCTCAAGGCTAGCGCTCTACCACTTGAGCCACAGTGCCACTTCTGGCTTTTTTCTTTTTGCTTATGTGGTGCTGAGGAATCAAACCCAGGGCCTCAGGCATGCAAGGCAAGCGCTCTATCACTGAGCCACCTTCCAAGCCCTCTTCCTTCCTTCCTTCCTTCCTTCCTTCCTTCCTTCCTTCCTTCCTTCCTTCCTTCCTTCCTTTCTTTCTTTCTTTCTGTCTTTCTTCCTTCCTTCCTTCCTTCCTTCCTTCCTTCCTTCCTTCCTTTCTTTCTTTCTTTCTTTCTTTCTTTCTTTCTTTCTTTCTTTCTTTCTTTCTTTCTTTCTTTCTTTCTTTCTTTCTTTCTTTCTGCCATGGAGTTTGAATTTGGGGCTTGGGTACTATCCTTGAGGTCTTTTGCTCAAGGCTGGTGCTCCACCACTTTGAGCCACTGCCCTACTTTGGATTTTCTGGTGGTTAATTAGAGATAAGTTTCTTTTGCTTTCTTGACAAGGCTGGTTTGAAACAGATCCTCAGCTCTCAGCCTCCTGAGTAAATAGAATTAAAGGCATGAGCCACTGATATCTGGCCTGGTTGCATTTTTGGTTCTTTTTTCCTACTTTTTTTGGGGAGAGTGGGTCATGGGGCTTGCACTCTGGGCCTGGGTGCTGTCCCTTAGCTCTTCAGCTCAAGGCTATAGCCCTCACACAATACTACTTCAGTTTTCTGATGGTTAATTGGAAATAGAGAGTCTCATGGACTTTCCTGCCCAGATTGGCTTTGAACTGTAATCCTCACATCTCAGCCTCCTGAGTAGCTAATACTACAGGTGTGAGCTACTGGCTCCTGGCTTTCCTACATATTTTGATCTTTCACCTTAGTGATATTCCTTAAATGTGTATGGAATATTTGCTGCACAAGCTTTTAATGCTGATGCACCAAAAACAGACTGTAAGCTCTTCTTGCATGGGAAGCTTTAATGGTTAACCATAGAATGCTCACAGAAGGCCAGTCATCTCCCTGTAGAAGGATTATACTGTCTTACTCTACAAAGTGAACTCTGCCAGACTCAGGTCATCTATTTTGGCTATGAAATATGAATACAAATGACATCTGTGTTGGGGGGGGGCATTGGAATTCAGTTTTTATGTGCCTTTTAGTTTCTCCATATCCTTTAATACCTCATAGGTATGTATGCCTCAGTGCCCACATATTTTTTGGCTTTATAGCTGTGGAATGGAGTTGGCATCATACAAATCTATTTACTGGTGTTAATTTCATGTAACTCTTCCCCACCTTTCATTTACTAGGCGACCCTGGGTTTGGAGTGCCTCTAATTAAATTTCTTTCTTTTTTTTTTTTTTTTTGGGTCCGGTCGTGGGGCCTGAACTCTGGGCCTGGGCGCTGTCGCTCAGCTCTTCAGCTCAAGGCTAGTGCTCTACCACTTGAGCCACAGCGCCACTTCTGGCTTTTTTCTTTTTTTTTCTTTTTTTTTTTTTTTGGGTCCAGTCATGGGGCCTGAACTCTGGGCCTGGGCACTGTCCCTCAGCTCTTCAGCTCAAGGCTAGCGCTCTACCACTTGAGCCACAGCGCCACTTCCGGCTTTTTTCTTATGTGGTGCTGAGGAATCGAACCCAGGGCCTCAGGCATGCAAGGCAAGCGCTTTAACCACTGAGCCACCTTCTCAGCCCCCTGGCTTTTTTCTTTTTGCTTATGTGGTGCTGAGGAATCAAACCCAGGGCCTTGAGCATGCAAGGCAAGCGCTCTACCACTGAGCCACCTTCCCAGCCCCCCTCTAATTAAATTTCTATGGACAATACATTTTCATTTCATATGAAGGAGTGGTCCTTTACATTTCTCTAAACTCAGAAATACCATGTTTACTCAGATATCTATAAGAATTCTCTTCAAATTTATTCAGAAATATTGGTCATAGGCATTGTTTCATTCTGGGAGATGAGCTGCCAGTTGATTATCCTAAAATAGTCTATTTTCACTGCTGGTAATGGGGAATTTCCACAAATTATAGTGTTGATAAGCCAGGTGATGGTAGCTTACGCATATACTCCTAGCTACTCAGGAGGCTGAGATCTGTGGATCGTGATTCAGAGCCAGCCTGGGCAAGGGAGTCTGTGAGACACTCATCTTCAATGAACCACCAAAAAAAACCAGAAGTGGTGCTGTGGCTCAAAGTGGTAGAGTGCTAGCCTTGATCTGAAGAGTTCAGGGACAGTGCCCTGGACTTACGTTCAAGCCCATGACAAAAAGATAACATCAAAGTAGTTGAATAGTTAAAATGTGCCATCTGTAGTATTGAGCACTTACAACTAATTTCTTTATTGTTCTTTGCGTTCTATTTCAGAAGAAGCCTGAGAAGATGATGAGCAGTTAGAGATACATCAGAACTTGGAGACAAATTGCATCCATCATCAATAAAGCACAGACTGAGGAAAGGAGCACTGCATATAAGGCAATTGTAAAATAATCCTTCTGCTCACAGGCCTTATTTTATTTTTTGTTCTAGTTCTGGGTCTTAAACTCAGGGCCTGAGTACTGTCCCTCAACTTTTTTAAAAGCTCAAGATGACAATTTGAGTTGCAGCCCACTTCTGGATTTTTTCCCCCCATAGTTAATTGGGGCTAAATATCTCATTGCAATAAGAGCCTTGTAGACTTTATTGCCTAGGCTGGCTTCAAACTGTGATCCTCAGATCTCAGCCTCCTGAGTAGTTAGGATTATAGGCGTGAGTCACCAGGGCCTGGCATAGTGCTGCTTCATTTTTGTCCATTTTTGGGCTTGAACTCAGGGCCTAAGTGCGGTCCCTGAGCTCTTTTGCTCAAGGCTAGTGCTCTACCACTGTGAGCTACAGCTCTACTTTTGGGTTTTCAGTGGTTCATTGGATATAAAAGTCTTACCAGGACTTTAATAACTGGGCTGGCTTTGAACTGTAATCCTCAGATCTCAGCCTCCTGAGAAGCTAAGATTAAAGGTGTTAGCCACCAGCACCCAGCTTTTTTTTTTTTTCCCTCTCTTTCTCTTTGTCGGTCGTGGGGCTGGAACTCTGGGCCTTGGTGCTGTCCCTGCGCTCTTCAGCTCAAGGCGAGCAGTCTACGGCTTGAGCCACGGTGCCACTTCCAGTTTTCTAGTGGTTTATTGAAGATAAGAGTCTCACAGACTTTCCTGTCCAGGCTGGCTTTGAATCTCCATCCTCAGATCTCTGCCTCCTGAGTAGCTAGGATTACAGGAGTAAGCCACCAGCGCCCGGCTCCAGCTTTTTTTTTTTTTTTTTATTTTTAGTCTGGTTGTGGGGCCTGAACTCTGGGCCTGGGCACTATCCCTCAGCTCTTCAGCTCAAGGCTAGCACTCTACCACTTGCCATAGTGCTGCTTCTGGCTTTTTTTTTTCTGCTTATGTGGTGCTGAGGAATCAAACCCAGGGCCTCATGCATGCAAGGCAAGTGCTCTACCACTGAGCACCTTCCCAGCCCTCCAGCTATTTTTTTTAAAGCAACACTTTTTCGATGTTTGAGTTTGAGGCACATTTTAACCATAAATAGGCAAGAAGGTATAGGAAAGAATCAGCAGTATTATTAGTTTGGAAATCCTCTACCACAGCCTACTTCTTAGGGTAGTAACCTCTTTGTAAGGATAAAGGAGCATGGAAATGACATAGTTTTAGTTTAAAAACTTTGTGTCCCATCTGCTAACAGAGCATTCCCACTAGTGAAAAATCCTATGAATTTTCCACACACAGGA